CACATTTGCTTCTCCCTGAAAGCCGACAGCTTGCATCGACACCATTCATGAGTATTTTGTATGTATTCTCTGGCGCCAACTCCTTTACGAAGGCTGGCGCCGACATCCAAATCACCATTTCCCTTTTCAAAAGGACCCCATTCCTGAACAAACGGGAATTGCCAGGGGTAATTTTTTTGCATAATATCGTAGCAGAATGTGTTGGCCATCGGTTTCTGAGACACGCTGTTCAAATTTTGCAAATTCCAAACGCTGGACATTCCCCATGCCAAAACATTCGCTGGGTTGCGGAGTGTTTTCCTCAAGAGAGCTTTTGCTTTGTAAACGGCTAAAGCCTGTCTATCATGTGGTTTTGTCGGGTTTTCGTGTCTGAAAGAAAACTATTCGCTCCAGATCTGCCTCATGAAACTTCCTAGGATCAAACTTTACATTTATTTACCTTTTTTGCGGCCAAGTGTCCTTGACATTAACGATTTTGGTGTTATTTTCCCAAAACTTTTGGCATTTTAGATATTATGAAGAATTTTAAACGATGCTTTGTCTTCATTTTACGATGACCTGCTATATGTGATACTGGGTAGCGTAGCCTTCACTTGTGAGCTTCTTGCCAGTTCGCAATAGTTGTAACCGCATTTTCAGCTGCTTTTTTGGTACAGTCTGTCTTAAAAGTACCGCGCAAAGTGGCGGTGGATCCATCAAGCCTGACCGAGAAAGGTCTGCTTTAATTTGAAAGTCACCGAACCAATTGAGCTGGGGAATGGACGAGGATGTCCATTGCTTCGGTGACCCAAATTTAGCAGGCCCTTCCTCAGTCAGGCTCGATGGATCCACCGCCACTTTGCGCGGTACTTTTAAGACAGACTGTACACGAGCCTAGCTGACGTACGGCGGTCGATTAAAACGCTGTTAGTCTCGGATAGTTTCGCCCTTCATTTTTTTGCCATCATTTTTTTAAATGATCATTATGTTGTACTACCCATCCTGGCCGACATTTTGCCATATTCTAAGGGGGCATTCCAATGCATTGGCCCCTTAGAATCCAAAAACCGCAAGTTTGAAATTCCATATCTCCGAATTAACCCGCGCCCCAGTGGCGGTCTCAGCCAACTTCGCCCTAGTAGGGGGGGGGGGGGGCATATGTTACCACCCACCTCTAACTCAAAAACTAAGAGGGCTAGAAAGACGCGGTAAAAAGCAGTCGATAGCTCTCGATGCGTACGTTAGAAAGTATTTCGGTCATTTTTCATCTTAGAGCAATATTGAGGTAACCAGAGGTCATCAAAAGGTCAAAATTTGCGAATTGTCATTATATTTTTCAGAAAACATGCCATTATCTCAAGAACTATGATAGCTAGAAGAGCGCTGGGAAAAGCAATCGATAGCTTTTGAACTCTTCTTTGATAAGGTAATTATCAAAAATTACCTCAGGTCAACGGTTTAGCCTCCAGCGGGCAAAAACTCCAAAAATAGTTGTTTTTACGAAAAGTGTTTTTCAACAATAACTTTTGACTAAAAAAAGCAAGGACATTTCTATTGCCAGAATCGTCTTCCTCTCGCCGAGACGCGTCGAATGAACTATAATTTGACCTTGAAAGGTCAATTTATAAGTTGACCTTGAAAGGTTAACTTCAAAATTTGACCTCAGGTCAAGGTCATTACCTGACCAGAAAAGGTCATGTTGCAAATCAGTCGATGCGTCTCGGCAAGACAAACACAATAAGGCCAACCTCAGCGTTCTATCTCTTTCCAATCGAGAGTTATTGGCAAAAAGCTGTTTGTAGCCTCAAATGACCTCGGATGACCTAGAAGCTATCAGCAAAAAGGAAACCTTGGTCGTCACGGGTGGTCCAAATCATTGTGATTCTGAAATATTTGGACTGTTCCTATGCGTACACACGGATCTAGAGGCATTTTCGTTTTTCTCCATTGACTTATAATGGAAAGGCCACGCCACTGACCTGACCTTAGGTCACGCATATAAAAAATCCGAGATATGCAAATTGTAGGCTCCCATAACATCATGCAATCCACCAAGTTTAAAACCTCTCTGACAAACACTGCAGGCTGGACATGATTGCAAACTTTTTTAGGCTTGGTCAGTTAACTTGACCTGGTGACCTGATCTGACATGACCTGGGGTCAAAAATTTCACACGTTGTCCAAAATTGATGTGCAAAAAGCTACTACAAGCGGCGCGGCGCAACGCGCCGCGGTTTTTTATTCACACGCAAAAAAAAAAACGCAACAGGGTGGTAAGGGTAACTAACATATGCCCCCCGCCCCCACTGGAGCGAAGGTTAAAGCATTTTTCGATGTTGTGAGTGCCCAAACCGGTATTTGCAGGCCATGGCCAGTGGCCACCAATCTGGCTAATGGCTATCTCAACTCAAAACTAATGGGGCATTCCACGTCAAATCGAACAAAAATCGGCTGTTTTGCACCTTACCATCAGCGATTTCATTATAAATTTGTGAGCGAGTTCCTGTGTCGCCCCGGACATTACATTGATGTTTTTTGCACATTCTGACCACAGGTCTTCTAAATATAGGGCATCAAATTTTTACAAAATGTTGCATCTTTATATTTTTGAACGACCATAACTTTGGTTGTACTTGTTTGATTTGAATGAAATAAACCTTACTGTTTAGGTAATTTCTTAAGCATTTGTTTAGAATTGCATCGACTTAGATATATGACCTTGAAATTTGCTTAACTCTGTTCTTAAGCACAAAAATTGAAATAGCAAAAAACACGCCACCTTCGATTTGGCTCATTTTCATATATTTTATTGCCTACCATATTCTTAACAACCTGTGAAAAAATTAGAGTGGGCCATTCAAAAGTTTTGAAGAAAATGGCACATATGCAAACGTATGTTAGCACGCGCAGTGGAGGGGGAAGAGTGAATTTCGCCCCACCCCTCCTGTTTTTCGCCAATATCTCATAATATTGATGCGAAATGACTTATGGCTACCTGTCCAGAATTGAATTGCACATCTCATCGTGCAAGCAATAAGAAAATCGGTTCACAACTGTTCTAGTAATAGCGGTGTAAAGTGAACATCCTGTCGCCGCGGCGACGCGGCGACTCGGCAGCCGGCGCCGACCGCTACGCGCCGCCTGAATTGTAGACTGTGCCGGGACGGAACGGAACGGTTCCGTCTTTACATCGCGCTCCTTACCGCTGATTACGTTCGATTCGCGTCAAATTTTGTGAGAAGACTAAGAAATGTACAGGCAATCTTATGGTGAAAGAATTCTGAAAATAGGTTGGTAAACAATTGAAATATGAACGTGTAAACACAAAATTGTGACTGCTGCGTTTCCCGCGTCGGCCGATCCCGCCTCAGCCGGCGACATGTTACTCTTAGCAGGACTCTAACTGCCATATTTATTATCGGATTAACTAGAAATTCCCCATACATACTCAAAAATGTATGTTCTTTCGTATAGTGAAGATCAAAAGACGTGAAGATATCGTTGCGTGATAATGTTTTCGTTGAATTTATTTCATGATGCATTTCCACACGGCTCAAAATTCACCGCAAAATACCGTTTGCCTGAGACACTTTTACAATGGAACGTGAATGCTTGACTACGATGACTATGCATTTCCATTCTCGCAGAGTTTGGGATATCACTAATCAGCAATCATTCATTTCAGAAAGTGTACACAAGCAAGCATGTCTTGACCCTGTCTTTCAAGGTCACGCGCGGTTGCGTGATGTTGATACATGAAAACGGCGTTTGCCGCGAAAGTTATGAATGGCCCACTCCAATTTTTTCACAGATGGTTAGGAACATTGTGACGGACATAATATGTAAAAATTACTCAAATCGAAGGTGGCGTGTTTTTTGCTATTTAAATTTTTCTGTTTTAATTCAAGGTCAAATGCATTTCAAGGTCACTTCAATTTAATTTTATAATTAAAAATCAAAGCCTTATCAATCGCCTACAAGACCCTGTTAATATCATTTTGATACCAGAAATGGAACCAGAGTTATAAGCATTTTAAAAAATGATGTGTGGCATTTTTGGCTATATTCGATGACCTATATCTCGGCGATACGTTATCAAATTTCGAAAATATTACACGTAACTCAGTTTTGAACCATGCCCAGTCTGCCTACAAATTTTCAGAAAAATCGAAGTGGATGACGGATTTCGGTGTTTGATTTGACGTGGAATGCCCCTAATGTTAAGGTGGGATGGTCCACGTTATTTTTGTGGTTTCGGGTGCCGGTCACTCTAGGTGGTGGTGGAATGATGATGGATCATTGGCAAAACTTACAGAGTGGAGTCCCGGTTCGAGCCTCATCAGGGCTCCGGCTGCTTTTCCGAGCTAGGATGGTTGGATTGCTATTAGTGGTTAGTGGTTACGAGCCATTTATACGGTTTTATACATTCCACGACAAATCGACAAGTGCCCTGCACCCTCATATTTTATTTTTTGCTTAAAATTGGTGTAATGGGTTGTGATGAGCGGGGAAGCCAGCTGTGGCAAGGATTTTTTTCTTCGAACAACAGTTTCCGAGATATAGCCTCGGGCAATTCCTGGAGGTCGCGCTGCAGTCCTATGTTTGGCGGCCTATAACTCAGAAACTATTGATTTTCTACGATAAAAACGTTATGTGGTTCAACTCACAATCAACCAACAAACATTTTGGCTATCTCGGATTTTCAATTTTTGAAAATTTTGATCACGTGACCTTTTTACCTATTTTTCAGAGTGAAAAAATGCTGAGCCATAGGAACCCGGTGGATAAAGAGTAGTGGACCATCAACCTGTATCCGACTGTACCACACTTGGTGTTGTAAGATGATTATCCACGCAAATGCTCTTCTCGATAATGGGAGTGGAAAATTGCTCTTCAAAAACTAGATGTGAGAGAAAAATTATTTTCTTTTCGATGTCATTTCCCACCTAAATCGACAAGTTTGGGAGAATGGTCTTGAGGTTACAGGTACATACGACAAACAGCCAACTAAAGGAGCTCACAAATCCGATGCCGATTTATTTGCTACATCTGACGAGTACCATACAACGAGCTCAACTCCAGGGCTCCTAGCCGATACTCAACAATATTGTAGTGCGGCTCGGCAAACTTCATGAAGATGCGTAAATCATTTCGCGACAAAGATAGACAGAAAAAGGGAGAGAAACACTTATTTTAATACAGGACTTGCTATTTCACTTTTGAAGTGTCGAGCCATGACGATGTTAATGATTCTGTGTCACATCTAAATGTCTTAGCGTCACGCACACATCCCAGCAGATGCCGCGCATGCTGGCCACTGTCGATGAGATAGATGGACACGGCTTACGTTACACGCGCGGACGCGCCCGGGACTCGACACCAGCACGAAACCCCCGAGTCGATGGCTAGCGCGTGCTGCTCAATGGATACTGCTCAGAAATCGCGCCGGTGATAGCGGTCTGGGTCGACGTACGAGGTGACCACCACGCGGCTGGCGAACTTACGACCGGTCAGGTGCTGCTGAGCCTTCTGGCAATCAAGCACAGAGTTGAACTCGACAAACACCTTGCCAAGACCAGGCACCTCCACACCGTCGATCGGCCGCGGGATCTCAATACTCTTGACCACACCGTACTTGCTGCATTCGAGTTTGATATCCTCGACGATGTCTTCGTATTCCTCGTCGTCGCGCAGCTCGTCCGGGGTGACCATGTTGAGCAGACAGAGCACCTCGGTGGCCGGGCCGGCGCCGCTCGCCATCTGCAGGCCCGGCACCTGGATCTGCACCGGCGCCATCATGCCCGAGTTCTTGGAACCGACGTTGGCGCGCTGAACAATCAGCTTCTTGTCACCCAACTGCATGCCGTTCAGACCCTGGATCGCCTGCTCCGTCAGAGAGGTGTCCACGTATTCACAGAACGCGAATCCTTTGCTCAGACCTGTTGCAGAGTCTTTGACCAGGTTGAAGGCGCGCAGTTGGCCGAAGGACATGAGCAGCTCCTTGACCTGGTCCTCGGTCAGGTAACTCGGCAGGCCACCCACGAAGATCTTGTTCGGCGAGTCCGGCACAACCGTAGATATGACGCCGACAACGCCCGGGACATTCGACGCGGGCCCATCGGTGATACCCGGCATGGGTTGGTAGTCGTGCGGCCGGCGGATCTTCAGGCTCTGGCCCTTCAGATTGATACCGTCAAACGCCACCGCCTGCGTACACTCGTCAATGGAGCGGAACTCGAGGAAGGCAAAGTTTTTGTCCAGGTTAATCTGACAAGCGAGCACAGGACTACCAGCTGCCTGAGCCAGGCCACTAAGATGCATCTGCTGGTTGAAGAACTCCATCATCTCCTCCTCAGTGACGCCAAAGGGGATGTTGCCCACGTAGAGACGGCGCGCCTGGCGTGTTACGGCCGAGCCCACGACAGGTGTGTTGGTAAGCGCGTCCGCGATGGGGTTGGTGGGTATCTGGCCAGCTGCCTGCATCGCCTTGTACTGTAGCGGTGTGATGTGCTCGAAGCCGGGGGGCGGGATGTCCCAGTACTTGCTGGGCTTCTTGCGCGTCAGCTTCGTCACGCTGCTGCTACCGCCGCGGTCACGAGACCGAGACCGGTCCCGCTTGCGGTCGCGCGACCGAGACCTACGACGGTCCCTGTCCCGTGACCGGCTGCGCCGCCGCCGATCTCTGTCCCTGTCCCGGTCGCGGTCGCGGTCGCGGTCCTCGCCCATGGCTGGTCGCGTTGACTGACCTGTTACCTAAGCTGAAACTGTGGCGCCACCGCTGCGCTGAAACGCCTGTGGGTGCTGCACTGAGCTGCAGCAGCTGCAACAGCCTGTGCTGAAACGCCTGTGGATCCTGGGCCTCTCCGACAAATCTGCTACACCTAGCGGAGAGATCAGGACAAGATTTGCAGATATGACACACGACAAGAGAAACATTTAGGTATACACAAATCAAAATTGGCAATTGGCATGTCAGTAAATGATGAAACTTGGGAATCAGCTGAAAAGCCAAAAGGTAAGATCAGTTCAGTCAGAAGCTGCAAATCTTCAACTGAAAATAAGAGGCATTTGTGAGCGATACACAATGCCAGAACTCAATAAGAATCGGAGGAACATGATGAGACAATTATAAGCAGGTGATACAATAACAATCTTCAGTCAATCTGGCCCATCATCACTTACAATAATGCTACATGAACATATTGACCTTGACTTTGAAAAAAAAAATTTCTCCAAGTCAGAAGGCTTACACACAATGCTGAATGCAATGTATACCCGTAGCTTAATGAGGCAAGGCAACTAAGGAATATTATTACCACTGTAGTCTGTACCAGCTGTGTAGGTACGTAATGCACAACTTTCATAATACAGCCACAATACAGCCGATCATGAAAATTATTGCTGATTAAGAGCTGCATCTAACAAGAATTGAGCAACAACACAGACAGCAAAGCAAAAGAAATAAGCATAAACAGATTTTCAACACAACAATGAACAAATGAATGACGTTTCTTTGGAAAACTAACAGCATCAACCAGCTTTAGCCAGTATCCCAAAATTGTATTTAGGCTTGGGTGTCAGAGGGGGAGTAACTATTACCTACCTACCTAACCAAAATGGGGGATGATAGTGTGTGTAAAACTGCTGGTCAGATATGACCCAAAGAGTAAAAAAGCATCAATGGCGTTGATTTATAAACAAGGGTGGTATAGCATAGAAAGAATTATAACCATTAGTGCAAATGCTTTTTCTCAGTTGTATTGGGGGTGGAAAATGCTAAATGGCTCTAAATAGTGTAGTAATGGTAACAAAATTGAATGGTAGGTACCTAACCAATACGTGGAAAATAGTAAAATTTTTAAGCTCATGGTGCTGCTGCAAAGTGTTTACCATAGCCTATCATCACATCGCATCTTTAAAATTGGAAGCTAGTGCAAAATGAATTCCATGTGGATCAGGGCCGTGTTTGGGCAGCGCATCCTATTGTAAAATTTTGCACCACGCATGCGCAGTTGGGGTCCCTCGGGTGCCAAGCTCGCTCCGCCCTTCGGTGTATGACATCACAGTGTGACGTAGGCTCGCGCAAAAGCTTTCAGTTTTGCGCAAGAAGAAAATAGCAGCTGCAGAATGCGAAAGTAGAGCGGATTTAAGTTTACCCTCCTATTTCTTATTGTAAGTGGTTAGTATGGTGTTTTTTTTGGTATCATTCATTATCTTTCTTTTCAGTGGCACATTGCTATTAACCACATTTGCACATGTTTTACTGTTATTGAACGAAACCCACCAGTCCATCCGCGTCATGGTTCACTGCGTGTCACGTGGCCCTTTGCTTTGCGGGCCGGCGGAGAGGGGGCGGAGCCAAGCGGCTGACATTATCGCAAGTGTGACTTCACACTGCAAAATATTTTGCGCGGACCCAAAACGACTCTGGATGTTGTTTTGCAACCGAAACAACAAATTCTGGGACACTGGTTGTTTAGCTGAGTTATTTGCAATAAATCAAGAAAATTCATATACTTCAGGCCTTAGTTGATTATAATCTCAGCAAACAATCTCCCATTAACAGTAAAAGACTGTAAAAATAATTTGTATAAAATCCAACACGACCTGCGACAAATAGTTGCGCACCGGCATAGCCGGTGAAGCTCAAAAGAAGCCGAGCGAATTTTAATAATCTGAATCATGAGCAGTGAAGTGGATGATTACGATCTGACCGTTCTGATGCTAAATACTTACCCTTGCAATAATAATCCACGCCCCCCAACGGCGCGAAATAAATTCCACCGGCGGAGACGGGCACAGAAACACGCGCAGCAATATGGAAGCGCAATACACCAAAATCTCGAGAGTTACCAAATGAAGTATTACCTACTATCAAATTGTAAATTCGGTAAATGCTGAAAGCTTAGATTTGAAGAACCGCCGGTAGGTGGCAGTAAGCTGCAGCGAAGGGGCATCGAGCTGACTCCTTCACCTTGTAGCTCGGCCGCCCGCGGGTCCTCGGCGCCGGCGATGCGCTCCGCTCCCGCTCCGCCGGCCGTCAGTGGTCGCTATGGCCGGGGACGGCGCGGTGGGGACGGCGGACATCACCGCTCGAGCGGAGGCGGTGCTCGCGCGATGTCGCCAGCTGGGCGTGCAGCCGGCCCAGCTGCGCCGGCTGACCGGCTACGGCCGTCTGCTGACGGAGGGTGCTGAGCTGAGTGACTGCGGGAGCCGACGGCGGCGCTGGGTGCTGCCGGCCTCGCTGGCGCTGCTGGTGGCCGTGCTGCTGCAGCAGCAGCTCTATACGGTGGCCGGCCTGTCGCGGCTGCTCTTCAAGCTGGAGGGCATCAGCGAGCACGCCGAACAGGTGAGGGCAAGGTCCGAGCTGGACCGGCCCCGGCCACCCCGCCTCCGACCTCTCACCTCCTGGGTGGTCCAACAGGACGCGGAACCGTAAAAGTGGAGACGTTTTTGGAAGCACAACGAAGAGGAAAACAAAAAATGTCCGTGAAGTTAGCGTCTGAGCCTTCGGCAATGCCGTATGGCTGTGATCCTTTTTGCTGATCATACCTAATCTCCCTGCAAGTCGGACAACAAATTTTCACTTTCATTCGCACATAAGCAGCTTTAGTAGGCCGCACTTGGCAGCCTGTTTTCCTAACGTATACCTATCGTTTATAACAGCTACGCACGGGGACTTGTACTGAATGACATGAAATTGCACACAACACATTGTCAGACTCGTGTCGTGAAAACTGGCGCTGCGCCGCGGTACTTGGCTGGTGCCTCTTGAAGCGGTCGATTCAGATTTATTGACTGATTACGGAGCGAGCGAAGCGAGCGTAGTCTTTCCTTAGATTAACGGAAATTTCTGAGTATGAGCGGCCGGCCGGCCGGCCGGCCGGCCGTGGTCACGCTTTTGCGAGGCTTATATCTCAGCAACCACTTGACCGATTTACACGCGGTAATTTTTGTAGGGTAGCTTCATTCCTTCTACCAAGTATTGGACTATTCCCGATGCATGTGGGTGACCCCTTATGCACGTGCCACGTGCAAAACGAAGAGGTGTCAGTTTTGTAATTGTTGCAATATCTCGGTAACTACTTGGCCGATTGCGCTGAAAGTTGGCATGTAGGTAGGCACCCACTAGGCACTGCATATACATGTGCCAGAGTTGGGGTGCTGCTGCACGTGCGCACGTGCAGGGGTCGTTTCCAGATCTCGGGAACGGCTGGACCGATTGCGCTCAAATTTGGTACACGGTTAGGGACCGGTTAGTAGGGTGCCGTGCACAAGTCAGTTGGGACCCATTTTGCACGTGCGCACGTGCAGGGTGCCGCTTCCAGATCTCGAGAACGGCTGGGCCGATTGGACCCAAATTTGGCACATCGCTAGAGACCAGTTAGTAGGGTGCCGTGCACAAGTCAGTTGGAGGTACCCCCTCGCAATTTCGCACGTGCAAGGCCCACCCTCTCGCTCGCTCCGTTAGTCGCCCCAAAAGGCGTTATACTGGTTTATCTTATAGAACACTCGGACCCGTGGATACATCCGCGTAGGTACGGGCACTCGGAGAATAATAAGCCAAGAAGGTAGGTCGACTATTCACGTTCTATTGGTCGGTAACCTAACGGATGAAGTCGGGTTAGGTGCCGAATCTCGATCCAACATCCCACTCCGGCAGTGTTCAGCCTGCAGGTCAGAACAGCAATTGAGGCAGCAGTAGTGTAGTACTCGAGTCCGAAGCCTCGGTCTCAGCTGCTGATCCCTGAGTTTGTGTCCAGCCGGCCAGTGTTATCTACTTATGTTGCGTTGAAGGCACCGCGCCACCGCGCTCCGCGCCCGGCACAAAACGGTCCTCCCGACTCCTCCCGAGGAGCACCCGGCCAGTTTTCTGCGATCAGATTGGGCAGCTGTGGGGCTGAAATCGGCACCTCATTCTGGATAATTTTTATAACTTTTCATTACCTTCTACAATAAAAAGTAGGGATCATTCGATAGAAGTAATTCATCAAGTAGTCGAAACAGCCTACATAGGTATGAGTTGGTCTTACCGCTCGGTCGCTCTGCTGCCCCAATCATTCAGTGCCTATTCTCTACCTTTCTACCTAATTGTCTTGCTCCCGTCATCGTTTGTTTCCTGTTCTCCCCATCGCTCCGTACCCGTTTATTCTACCATTCGACCTCATCACCACCGTTCGACTCCCGCTCCTCCCGCTGTTCGATAGTAGTGCTCTTCCCACCGCTCGGTCGCTCCTCTCCCCATGGTCCGGTCCCTCCAACTACTCTGTTCCGGGGTCGTGCACGGACACGTGGATCTGTTGTGGTCGGTAGGTGTTGCGGGCGCTCACAATCACCCACTGATCGCAGACACCGCGCAGGCGGCGGCCGTATAGGCCGTGCTGGTGACCTTGGTTACCGCGCCCTCAGAGGTGCAGACTGCGGAGCAGGCGCCTCTAGGAATGACGACGGAGATTTGAACTTCGCACTTTAGCAGCGCTGGTCATCTTTCCTTGGAACGTCTTCAGCTAATTAATTTCTGCCGCTCACATTTTTCGTTTGGAATGACATTTCTTTCGATCATGCACCTAAAAATACATGTTAAAGGGACCCTCCCACCTTAACATTAGATTTGAGTTGAGATAGCCAAATTGGTGGCCATGGCCTAAAAATACCGGTTTGGGCACTCACAACATTGAAAAATGCTTTAATTCGGAGATATCGAATTTCAAACTTGCAGTTTTCGGATTCTAAGGGGCTAATGCATTGGTATGCCCCCTTAGAATTTGTGACGTCAGCGGAGATCTAACGATTTTAAATCTTTTACTAAAACGTTTGGTAGCACGCGGTGGTATATGCTGCTTTGCGCGCAACAAATGCCGCACTTTCAAATAAAGTCGCTAGGAACAGTGGAGATCCCAAAAAGTAAACAAAAGTAAAAGTCTAATATCTTGAAAACCGGTGAATATTTTTCGATGAAATTTGGTAGATATTCGTTTTTGCTCTTTCTGAACCGAGCGACATCACTTTCATGCCAATTCATTAACTTTTTTGAAGGTGGGAGGGTCCCTTTAACCCTCGCCCATGTAGGGGGGGGTTGGTGCAACCCCCCCCCCCCCTGAGGTTTTTCGGAAATAGTGCAAAAACGGCGGCGCGCAGCGCCGCCAAATTTTGGGTACCTTATGGGGCAAACCTTGCGCATCTTTTGATAAAAAAATTTGACCGGGTCATGTCAGGTCACGGAGTTATGACGTCACAAAGGGAACAGCCTCCGGCCGGATTTTCACAAACTGAGTGCCAACGCCCGAGGTTTCCTGCCGGTGGTACGGACATCGGTTGATGGATCGTGATGAAACTTCCCATGCATGTTGGGGCAAGTATTGGCTATCATATGGTATAAGAAACTTGACCGGGTCAGGTCAGGTCACGGAGCTATGACGTCACAAGAGGAACAGCGTCCGGTACTATTTTTGAAAAGCGCCCGAACCACTATTTTGCTAATTCTTGTCACCTCAATGGGAATATGCAGCAATATTAGCTTCTATAGGGAGCAAATGGACATCCCAAATCCAAAAACACAATCAGATTTCAAAAATTTAAATTTTGATTTTTCGAATTTCTGCCGCCGACTGTGACCTTGCCGACTTCCGGCGCTCCCAACGCGCCATTTTTAGAGCTAGGGAAACGAAATACATACCAAACGATAGAGAATTGATCAAGGAACACGATAGTGAAGGTTTCAAGTCGATATCTCCCACCGTTTTGCCGCAATCGCCGCGGAAAATTTGAAAAAGTCTATTTTTCCGAAAATTTGACCTTTGACCGGTCAAAAGTAGGTCAAATGTTGACCTAGGACCAAAAAATATACCACCAATCGCGAGATCTCGTTGAGAGCAATCCGTTGGTCTTTTCCGCTAAGCTCTACGACGCTCCGTTTTCAAACGCCAAGGGGGGGGGGGGTCGCACCAACCCCCCCCCCCTGCATGGGCGAAGGTGGCAGATCGCCGTTTACGGGCGAGGGTTAACTTGTCACTTTCCGACACTCCTCAACAGACCACCGTGGTCGGCATGTTTTGACTTTTGGGTGGTCTTGTACCGTGCAAACCAACCACTACCGGCACACGCTGTGACGGTACGGCACGACCTGCCCCAGTCTGACCGCACTCCCTTCCCACGCCCCCGCCGGCGGCTCGCCTTTCATCCCAGTCACTCTCGCTCTCAGGACGAGTCTCTGCCGTCTATGTGCCGACCTGAACTGGCCAGACGGGTTTTCATGGCCCCAGGCGCCCGGCTGACCGACCCCGACCCGGCCTGCTGCTTGTTTTTCCGACTACGAAGAACGGGGCAAAAAGTGGCGTAGAGATGCAGATGGTATGGATCCGATAGAGACTCAAAATGTATGATACTAAGACTGAGGGTTGACACAAAGTGCACTGCGTGGTAGTTTTAACAAATACCATAAGCGAGGGCTTGTACTGTTTCTTCTGTCGACTTTCGGAGGACAGTCGTCACTCACGCAGACCGCAGCTTATGAACTGCCTGTCGCACGTAAGCGAAAAATAAAAAAGAATATCATGATAACCTGAGCATGACTAAACGCTACAGAAGCTACAAATTTTAACGGTGTCAGAAGTTGAAACGGTGTCAACATGCTCATCAGTAGCCGAGCGCACTGCTGGCTTGTTATCCGTCCAACATCCGTGAAGTCTGGTTTGGTAAACTGAGTGCCTAATTCAAATCTGATCCCATTCGTCCAGCCACGGAGACTGCATTTTTAGTGTTTGTTTTCGGTCAGTGATAGCCTGTGCCGCAAGGCGTACGGGAATGCGGCACAGCCTACTCGTGGGATTGCAGTAGAATTGACTGACGCACATACAGAGCGGAAATTACATAGGCGCGGGGAGCGGGGGGGGGGGGGGTAGTGGGGGCAGCTTGCCCCCCCCCCAAACTCTGGGGCCGTGGGGGGGGCGGTGCCCTCACAACTTTGAGACGGAATACCGCACTTTTTTTGCAAATGTTTCTTTTTTGTTGAAAAAGCTAAGGGCCTAAGTGGCCTAAAACCGGCAAGAAAACTACATTAGGGGATACCCTAGGTTGATCTCTATAGTGGTGTGCCCCTAGTCTGAAAGAAGTTCCCGCGCCCTTGGGAAATTAAATGATGCGATCAACACAATGATGAACGGGACGGTGACGTACTTATAGTTGCAAGTAGACTGATATAATGTCCCACATTTCTTTTTAATGCTTTTGTGGGTATCTGAAGTAAAGAAACATTTCATTTATTTCCTGAGTAAAATGAGACAGAGCCTAGGATCCGGGATGAGATGATTAACACGAAATCGCAAATGATTTTTCCTGTTTCAATATAAAAATAAGCTGGTCGCAAACTAAAACATTCGATCGTACGAGCTGTGAGCGGCGAAGGCGATAAACACAAATATCCGACAGTTTGTGACGAATGTCGCCGGCCCGGCCTGACCTGACCTGACCCCGCCAGTGGCGGCGGAACACCTTCAATTAAGGGGGAGGGGGCACTGCCGACTTTTGGTCCCATTCTTTCCGTGCAACGCCCATAGGGCTAATGTTAAAATGCCAAAATCAAAGAGGGCACGATGCCCCGGTGCCCCCCCCCCCCCGTTCCACCGCCTATGGACCCCCGCACCAGCGTAGGATAGAGATGCCGTCGATGGTGGCTGACCACACCAGTGACCTGACCCCGCTCCCCTGTCCCCAGTGTACGATAGAAATGCCGACGGTGGCTGACCTGACCAATGACCTGATCTGACTAGACCTGACCCGCTCTGTTGTCCCCAGTGTACGATAGAGATGCCTCCGATGATGGCCGACCTGACCAATGACCTGACCTGACCCGGCTCCCCTGTCCCCAGTGTACGATAGAGATGCCTCCGATGATGGCCGACCTGACCACGGCCCCGGTCAACTGCTCCATGTGCGCCGATATCGACCGGGTCGACAGAGTCTCCAACATCACACCGGAGGAGTTCGAGCAAAAGTGAGGACCAGAGATTCACCTGGCATCTGCATACTGCAGCAGTGGGCTGCGTTGGGGAGCAAATCATTTCTGAATTAAATATTGCAAAAATCTGTTCGGGATACAATGCAGAGCACATGATACCTAAAATAAAAATTGGAAGCAGAAATATGTTTTGCGCTGTCCTCTTTTTTCTGCTATGTGTTGTTAAATATTAAGCAAATCGTTTTTAGCTAAAAAATAAACAGTAAGGCGAAAAATTAACGAAAGCTGCCGATTGTCATATCATCGCGCGCCGGCCGGTCGACTAAGCCCCCAGGATGCGCTGTCTGCTGCGCCGAGTGATGACGCCCAGCTCAGGTCAGGTCAGGCGGTGTGACCGGGTGCTCCCGTGGCCGCCAGGTACGCCTACTCGGGCCGGCCGGTGGTGGTCACCGACGGAACCGCCAACTGGACGGCACCGCGCGTCTTCAACTTCAACTTCTTCAAGAAGCTGTACGGCCCCAGCTCGCCCGTCATCGAGAGCACCGACAACAGGGGCTGCCAGTTCTTCCCCTACAAGTGAGAGGTCTTCCTCTGATAAATCTTAGGTCTTCTTACTTCTAAGTAACTACGGGGCACAGGCGTTTCAATAACTCTTTCGAAATATTCCATTAGAAATTGCACATTTATAGTTCAGCAAAAAAATTCATCCTATCCTCTGTTTATCTAAGATTATCCTTATTTCGATCTTAAAAATGTGAATCGTCACCGGTGGCATGCGCATGGTCATTCAACGCTTATTCTAATTATTACGACGATCAGCTACTCGAGTCAGCCCTAGCCTGCAAGTCAACCATATCGATCGCTTCAGAATCGATCGAAAATCAGCGGGGCAGTAATCGCCACGCCATGTGTGGATCGCCCACGATCGTAAATACATACATACATACATACATACAATACATACAAAGTCGCAGGGTCACCACGCTCGGTCCGGCGCCCCCGTCAAATGTTACACCACCCCGCCGTCGACGTCTGAGAGCTCAACGGGTCACGGGAAGGGTGCAGCACGCGGTATGTCAAATTGGCAGCGAGTCTGCACGATGGTAGTGGAAAGTGATCGCTGCGGGTGGCTGCTGGTAACAGGCGAGTAGTGGTCGTCTGATCACTGTGGGTGGCTGCTGGTAACAGGCGCGTAGTGATCGTCGCACGGAAAACTTCGAACACTTTATGAGAACAGATGTTCTAGGCGGGTGGTCACTCGGTGACTGGTATTGATTGGCGGTAACTCGTGAATTAGGAAGGCGGTAATTACATAGGAGGCAGATGGATGCATTATTTAAACCGAAATTAGTCGAAATAAAAGTATTAGCGAAAAATATTTTATGCTGTGTGTCGACAAAACACGAGCAGGAAAGACACAGAACGGCGACGTCTACCGAAGAATTAACCCTGCGAGGACTGCTCCGGTTGTTTTTCAATAAAAAAAAAAAAACAATTCTAACGAATGGTGTTAGTCTATTTCAAACAACTACGGTTACGAAAGCCCATTGTTTGCTGACCAGTTCCTCTATGCATAATCACCGCCTACTTAGTACTTATGTCGCCATTCGCCTGTCTGGGGTCTCTGGGCCGCTGAGGACACGGTGACGGTCCCGGCTCTCCACTGTGCCAGCGTCGCCGGCGGGGAGTCTGACGGCCGAACTAAGGGCCGCGGACGGCTGCACCGGCCGGCTAATCCCGGCTTTCGCCGCCGCCTGGGACGACGGACATGGCCGAGGAACGCGCCCCGGTGACTGCGGCTGAGGTCCCGGTCGGAGCCGAAAACGGCCACTTATCTACTGCCCGGGTACACTGACTACTGATTGAGTGCACCTGGCCGGTGGTATTGAGAAGATAATGACTAGGTGGTGGCGAGGTGGTAAGGCGGCGTCTTGGCACCAATATATCCTATCTTAGCTGGCAATAATTACCGGCTGGATCGTCGTGATAAAGATGTGACGGTTTATCGCGCCTAATCTTCACATTTACAGTTGTGCAAAGATCTGACGCATTTTTACCGTCCTAACTACCGTCGCTAAGCAACTTACGAAATGCAGGCTTATCAATGGAGACCCACTGCAAAATGACATCTTGGTTAGCAGACTTGGTGTTCCGGCTTGAGCATATCATCGCCTAAGCATGTCACAAAGAGCCTTGAAGCTGAGCCAGACACTCGCCGTATCCTAATGCGATGCAACGGTGCGATCAGTCTGCAGCAGGACCCATGGGCATCCCCTCACCATCAAACCAGCTCCATAATCCCGACTTTAGAGCCGGTCAAAGACCTGCCACAACTCGGGCTGAGCGAGCGGTTCTGGTGTGTCGAGGCTGACATTTCACTCGTGTTTTCAGGACTAATTTCCGATCGCTGCGGGAGGTGTTCTCCATGTCCCAGGACCGAGCTGACATGAAGCCGGGAGAGAAGCCGTGGTATATCGGATGGTGAGTGACATCGATTTGACTGTAATGAACAGGGAGCTCCCGTAAAAGAAACCTTCCGATTAGTTTGAGTGCAGCGATATTTTCATTTGGCAGGGGCTGAAATGCTTTAGCCGGTTCGTACCTACGGTCCATTAAGCGAGGCCAACCTTCGACCCAATCTATTCTGCTCGCAGGTCAGCTGTAAGTGACTGTTTCCATTGCCCAACTTAACTGTAATGTCCCTACCGCTTCAGGTCCAACTCTCAACTGTTTCAACTTTCAACTATCCAGTCACCCAACGGCACCTGTCTCCATTGTCCCATGTCTAATTGTAACCGTCTCCGCTGCCCGCACAGGTCCAACTGCGACTCGGCGGCGGCCAACGAGCTGCGCCGTCACTACAGCCGGCCGTACTTCCTGCCCGACACCTCAGAGTCCAGCCGACTGGACTGGATCTTCATGGGAACGCCCGGCTTCGGCGCCCACATGCACGTGCGTATAACACGCCCCGCTTCGGCGCCCACATGTACTTGCGTAGAAAAAATGCCCGGATTGAACCGAAAAAAAAATCAGTAGCCCTGGCCAGTGGTGGACAGCCAGTCCCGTAGGCGTGGCTCAACAATCAGACTCGGTAAATCACCCCGAGTATCGGGTTCAGCCCATGCCTTGGCCTATGCCCTCGTCGGATGAATGGTGACCGGTCCAGTGATGACACGGCCGGCGACCCGACTGCGTGGCCGTGGACCGGGTCCGTCCGGCTGCCCCGCTTCAGTCCCACACCAATTAGCGAGTGTGACCAATTAAGACGCGCTGATCGTCTTGCACTTTTAAAAAGACCAGCTTGGTTATCAATGTTTCTTGGTCAGAACGCAAGCTCACAATCACTGCACATCTGCATTGATACGGATGTGTTTAAATTTAGCTTAACCCGCGCGGGGCTGGGGGGGGGGGTAAATTTTACCCCCCCTTGCGAATTTTTGCGATATCTCAAAAACGGCGGCGCGCAGCGCCGCCAAACTTTCAGTACCTTTTCTTACATCAATTTGACACGTTCCCTGAAAATTTGAGCGAAATCCGTTGGAAAATTTTTGAGAAATTGACGTTTTAGTGACGTCATGTTCGCCATTTTCGCCTCAAAAACGGCAAAAGTTCAAACGCCGCTAACATCTTCATTTTTAAAGGAATCAAGACGTAACAAAAAAGGTTATACGTAATTTTACTTTGTCTATCAAATCTCGGTTGTTTGAAAATTTTGGATTTGGGCCTAAATTTTTTTCAAAAAACTGATTTTTTTGGGAAAATCATTATAAAATCCAAAATTTTGAGTCTATCGAAAAAACCGGAATATATGTCAGAGAAGTGGTCTATGTGCACCTACATACCAAATTTTAGAAGAATCGGTTCAAAAATGTGGGAGTTATTCAAAATTTTATGACGTCACGACACACACAATTTTTGAAAAATGACTTTTTTGGACGTTCTAGACCTCGTACGGAAACAAAAATAGCACCATTCGATTCGCCGTGAAAAACTGCATCAGATAGACACCTTTTTAGGCCTTAACAACCAACTTAAAAATTTGACCTCACTTGACCTGACCTTGACCTGACCTCGACCTGAAATTCATCCAGAGGTGGTGCATATCACTTATTGAGTGTGCCTATTGAATTCTATGAGTAAAATGACCCATAAAACATGTGTCGCACATGCCCTTTTCTACATTTTGTTTTTTGGTGACCTGACCTGACCTGACCTGACCTTGACCTTGACCTCTGAATGATATTGTATGCAACGAGTATTGTCTTGGTAGCCTAAGAACACGTTTTGGGCGATCAGTCTCAGTCCATGACTCCATTCTTCGGCAACTACGGTGCAAGGCCGATACTGTAGAAACTTGCAATTTGTACCCTTGACCTGACCTTGACCTTGACCTCAAACTTTAAATTAAGTACATGTTTTTAGTAGTTCGTGATGAGAGCTTTCGATTGGCGTTTGAATTTTCCAAATCGGACCATTAGTTCGGGAGATAACAGGGGGGGGGGGGGTAAAATTTACCCCCCCCAGCCCCGCGCGTTCGGCTGGAGACCCCAGCCCCGCGCGGGTTAATTAACGCCATCTAACGCCCACGTATCTGTGCGATCGTTTCAGATCGACCACGTGCGGAACCCGTCGTGGCAGGCCCAGTTGCACGGCCAGAAGCTGTGGACGCTGCAGCCGCCGCCCGAGTGTCAGAGCGTGTGCCGTCGGATGGAGACCACCGTCAACCCGGGAGAAATCAGTGAGTAACTGTTCACTGTCCAATGTCAGCCCGAGAGGAAACAGTGAGTGATCAACCTCAGCCCGGGCGAAATCAGTAGCTTATGTTGGTGTCTAGAGCGTTAACCCCGGCGAAATCACTGTCCTCTGTCCAACGTCAAGCACGACAAAATGAGTGAATATCCATAGTGGTGAGAGCATGCTCAAGAGCCAAAAGCGACAAGCAGAAACAACAAAGCCAAGCTTCCTACAATCGACATACGAGCTGGTGTTCGAGGTCCAAACATATCTTGAAAACCAGCCATCCGACGGCAGTAGGTACCATTTTGGCGTCTGTAGTTCACGGATCTTTTTGGGGGACACGTGGAATTTATGTGGCATCGACTCTTCGATAAAGCCGCGGCGGAGGACACACTGACCGCAATATCCAGAGTATTAGGCGGTGTGCACGGGAGGCAGAACGGGTTGGACACGTGTCCGGCAGGCCTAAACGTCGTGCTCCCTCGGGTGCGGTTTGTGACAATCGCTGTAGTAAAACCGTTACAGCATTCAATAATGAAGCGTCATTTATCACTGCGAGTCTGCTTAGCTGAGCACAGAAACAACCAGTAACTAATTTTGACTGGAGGCGCTGGAAAAGGCCCTAAAAGTAGCACATACCCTCTGCCTGGACAATGGACAGCATTCAGCTAGAGGACGATCACATTGCCGCGGTAGCCGCATCGGAATTGAATTAGGAAATCTACGAGCTTTGTCTTATCTAGACTGAACTAGACTTACTTAGACATTGAATTACTTGTCTTATCTAGACTTACTATCATAACCCTGTTACGGTCGTTCTACCGTTGCAGTTGTGCTGGACACCAACATCTGGTACCACATGACGACCATCGTCTCCGACGTCATCAGCATCACCATCGGCTCCGAGTACGACTGAGACGTCACTGGACGTCATCGGACGTCATCGAGGATCATCAGACACGCCATTGGGTGTCATCACTCCTCGCGAGGCGTCACCAGATTGTCAGCTTACGTCCTGACAGTGATGTTAGAGTAGGAGGCTGAGGTGTACAGTAGGTCTACTAAAAAAGTCCCCCGCTCCAGAGGCGGCCGGCCGGCCGAACCCCCGGATTCCAGCCCCGACTCTATTGCGCAGGCCGCGGCAGTGACACGGGTCAGGTCGCGGCGCCCGGCGAGTGGGTCAGTTGGCGGCGGCCGGCCGTGGAGTGAGGACGCCGTGCGTGGGGCGCAGGGATGCCGCAGTGCAGAGGAGGGGAAGATAGTGACTCTGCACGATGCCGGAAATGATGCCTTTGTGATCTAAATTACACCTGCACTGCAGTGCATATCCTCCCTTGCCCCATTCCTATTATATCATAATCCTTCAATAATCCGTAATGACCATTCAACGCAAGCAAGCAAACAAAACGACCCGTTTAGCGGCGACATCATCTCGGATAAAAAAGCGACAGTGATGATTAGAATTGACTTTGCGCGAGGGCAAATCGAGGGATATATATGTATCATATGCCGAGTATTTTATTCCCATCTAGCAAATTAAGACTGGCCGGATCTTGTCCAACAAATCAGCGGCTGTTCTAGACACAGATAAATGCTTTGTTTTCGGTCGCATCATTATCTGCAATAATTCGAGGCGAGGTTTGCACACATGTTGACACAGCACACTGATGATAGAAGGCTGACATTTCATATGCCTTACATTTGATTCAAGCCGGATCATTTCACATTTGAAATCAACCACGTTTTCATGTCAGGTCACTTAAAGGGACCCTCCCACCTTCAAAAAAGTTCATGAATTGGCATGAAAGTGATGGCGCTCGGTTCAGAAAGAGCGAAAACGAATATCTGGGGCATTCCACGATAGATCGTACCAGGCCCGTCACCCTCATCTCTCAGATTTTAATGAAAATCGGTCCTAGGGGTAATCATAGGCCCCAAAGACGCCTGGCAAAATATCAGACTTCTCAGATCAAAACTTTTTGAGTTATATTGCATTACATTTTTTTAACTTCGGTATGTAACGGTGAGTTTGATGGCCTATAACTCAAGAACGGGTTAAGCAACCAACAAAAAGTAAACAACACTAAGCTTGCGATGAATCAAAAATTAATATTACTATTTAAAAATTCCAAAGAAAAAATTTCATTGCTGAGCAAAAACCTTAATCTTTTTTCATTTGCCTCTAATGACTTTTGGGACCAAAATTTTTTTCACATTTTTATTTTTTCAAATTAATCTTCATGTCATTGCAAATCGACATGCAAAAAATTAAAAAGGTGTTCTTTCTATAAGTTCGTCATTTTCCCGCAAACAAAATGGGTTTCGGAGGGGTTGATACGACCCCAGCACGCCTTTTCGCTTCTAATAGAGCTAGAGCCTCGCGGAAAAAACGAGCGTGTGTGCCGTTACAAATCGCAGCGATTGGTACCCGATTTTAAGGTCTCAGGTTAACCGGTAGCGTCTGAGGTCAGGTCACGTGACTGAAGTTACGGGTTCAGCTTTTAGTAAATAACTTCGCAAAAAATGGCCGCAGAGCCGCGATTTTGGCATCATTGTGTTCGCCTAGCTCAGGTGCATCGAATGGTATACTTTTTGCTAGGGTGAGGTCAACTTAAGTAGTTGACCTCGGGTCAAGGTCAGGTCAGAGCCCCTCAGGTCACGAAGCTGGGCAAAGGGTATCATATGGCATATCATTCGATTCGGAAGGTCATCCCGAGTCCATTGGTGGCTTTCCCGACTCTCTAGCTCCATTTGATCGGGAGTTATTGACGAAAAACTCGTACGACCCTAGTGACGTCATAAATGACGTCACGCAAGGTTAACAATGCAAAAGTAAAGTATTGGACTTTGCAAGGAGTGCATGAAATCACGATACCATGTACAGTGGGTCTATTTAAGATCTCCAGAGCCACCACGTGGCGCTACGGTCGGGGTAGGGCGAGTCCAAATCCCGAGGGATGTGAGGTCACCGGTCATTGTGGGGGAAGGAGGGAGGGGGAGTGACGCGGTATCACGGCGCATGGGGCGTGCGTAGCGCCGGGAGTGGGCCGCCTAGGGCCGCCCGCCACTGCGCCGAGGCTGAGGGGAGGGGATGATGGTTGCGGGACGCGGGTGCGTTCACTCCGGTATGGTGGTATCCTGTTCATGTGGAACCAGCAATAATGCGACCGAAGGGAATCATTATCTCAAACAAACGGACAAGCGAGAGGCAGCGCCAGTTCCAGCCAAAATCTTGAACAATGATAATTTGAAATCTAGGACGGATTAATAGCATGCAACTATTCAGTCGATACTTGCATGATGTCTTAGGCTTTTCTAAACTGTTATTTGAGTTAGGTATTTTTTCATTTGGCACGTTCAGTTTTGGTGGGTTTTATCGGGTCGAAAAGAATCCGAAAAGAAAGAGTTGAAATGGCTCCAGAATAATGACCAACTTCATTTTAAAATGAAACTTAGCTTAACATTTATAAGCGATAATTTTGACTTTTTTTAGAGGATATTGGGGAAAGATGTTGGTGAAAGATATCATCGTGCTTGTCTGTGATGCAGTAGAAGGAAAGGTTTTGGTTCGTGTCCAGATAAAACCAGACCCGGGAGTGGGGCTCGAACTTACGACATCGCGTTCAGCTCACAGGTTACCCAACCTCAACGCCACGAGCGCCTATCGGCCTGCGCAGCTTGCTCAGTGCTACGGCTAAAGTTCGCCCAAAGTGTCTGACGTCTGTCAATGTCACGAGGCGAAACCCCTAGGTGAATGTCCGTCCCGGTAGGTCGGTCGTTAGGGCGTTGGACTCCGTGTGGTGAGAGCGCACGTCCCGGTTGCAAAAGTCCGGGTTCGAAACGCAACGTGTGTTTGACGTTTTTGAGCTCCTGACGGGTATGGTTGTGGTTGGTGGCAAGCCGCTGCCAGGCGAAGTCAGTGAGCTAGGGGACCGGCCGTGCGCGGCTACGTGCGCACGTTAAAATTTGGACTAATTCTGCCATAGACCAGGAATTGCCTGATCGGAGGGCAGAGGGCAGGGTCAACGCAACAAGCTCAGCTTAGCGGGGACTCTTCCCTTGTGATTCCTTTCATTCAAAAGGTTCGGGCCAAATTTATATTAAAAAAGGGGAGCCGAACCATGTTGGGTCGGGTTGAACCCTGTTGGACCGGTGTCTTACACGCAATCATGGTCAGAGAAAACAGAGGTCAATTTCGGGTCAAATATTTTATTATTATATCTTATTGTTTTTTAGCTTACACGTATAATAACTTTAAGCTTTTTTAATCGAGACTTCATGCACAAAAATGTGGCATTCGTCCGCTTTTCCTCATTTTCTCTCAGCGACTTGATTTGACCTTAAATCTTACCAGCAAAAAATAAATCACCTGCGTAATAATTATTTGCCCCCGTAATAATTATTTTACCCTAGGCAAGAAACGCCAGCCGGTCAAAAAACTGGCGAACGATACGATACCTATTTCTTAGTGCTTGAATTATATTCAGTGAAAATTTCAGCAGACATAAATAATCTCCTTAGCTACCGGGCGCTCGGAGCATTCGCTAGCATTCCATGGCCAGCTGCAATTATCAACATCATATTTGCATTACTTTGGGTTCATCATAGTTGACAGTAGATGAACCGGCCACAGCAAACCCATGCCTCATTATCCTTTCCTTCCAAGCAGCCAAGCTAACCGGCCGCCCGGCCCACCACCGCGATATAGAACAACACTGGAGTGCGCCATTTGCCTGCGGCAGTGCCCCACCATGACCACGCCGGGGCTGTTTGACAGGTCACCCGCACCGTGACCTCGCCCCCCCCCGCCCACCTCCCCATCGGGCCCAGCTCGGTACTGACTTCCCCTTGAATTTGACATGGACTCGACTAAGGCTCAACGCCATCTAGTAACGTCTGGAGATCCTTACTAGATCCACTGTACGTGGGATAGTTTTAGATCATTCTCGGCGCCAAAATAACAGTTTTTATATTTCCCCATTGATTTATAACAGTGATGTCACGTGACCGACCTGACCTCATGTAACCTTGAAAAATTCCCAGATATACAAGTTGTGAGACCTCTGGAGGACACCATGTATGCGTCCTGTAACTTTCATCTCGGACAGCTATGGTCATTGGCGTCCAAAACAATGTCAGAACCAAACAGCCTTTTTCACCCTCGCGCTTATAGGAAAGAGGGTTGAATGAACCCTCTTTTCACTTTTTTCAGATGACTCAGACTTGAATTGAAATTTCAGTAACCCGTGATGTCACTAGGCAGCTTTACCACGCCATTTGTAAGCTCCCCTCCCGAAATCGCTATTCGAAACCGTTATCGTGACGTAAAATAAATACATTTATAGAAAGAACACCTTCCTAATTTTTTGCATACTTCTTGACAAAGAGCTTAATATTTTTTTAAAGAAATAAAAATTCAAAAAAATTTGGTCCCAAAGTCCAAAAAATACAAATGAAAGAAAACTCGATATGTCATATATAAAAATAGCGTATTTTTCGAAATTTCAAAAATATATATTAATCTCTGTTTCATTGCAAGTTCAATGTTATATAACATTTGGCATTTGAATAATCCGTCGTAGAGTTACAGCCCGCCAAACTTAGCGCTGCAAAGCAAGATCCAAAAAATGTTATACAACATAACTCAAAAAATACTTATCTGATAAGCCTGAAATTGTTACAGGTGGATTCAGAACCCCTGATTACCCCTGAGCCCAATTCTCGTCAAATTCCGAGAGATGAGGGTGTCAAATTGGAAAAAAGTGGTACGATCTATCGTGGAATGCCCCATCTACCAAATTTCATTGAAAAATATTCACCGGTTTTCAAGATATTAGACTTTTACTTTTGTTTACTTTTTGGAATCTCCGCTGTTCCTAGCGACTTTATTTGAAAGTGCGGCATTTGTTGCGCGCAAAGCAGGATATACCTACCACCGCGTGCTACCAAACGTTTTAGTAAAAGATTTTAAAATCGTTAGATCTCCGCTGACGTCACAAATTCTAAGGGGGCATACCAATGCACTAGCCCCTTAGAATCCGAAAAAT